CAATGAAATGGCGAAGGATAAAACGCAATTTTGACACTTCCGAATTTTGTTTTTTCTTTTTTAGAATTTACAAAACACAAAAAACGTACCTTTTTTATTTGCGGAGAAAATTTTGGCATAAGTAATAAGGTAATAATTTATTGACATTGGTAACGATTTTGAAAACCTATAATGATAATGTAAAAAGAGCGAAGTACTTGAACAATTATTTTTTCTTATCAATCAATGAAAATTTTTGACTAATAAGCGCAGTTCTATGATAAATATCCTTGATCGGTTAAACGATCTTTCACTAATAAAATTTTCTTTTTGACGTATTAAACTTTTATCATATGTTTTATTCATTGGAATAATCAATACAATTGATTCGTTAATCTATTTTTTATTAATTAAAATTTTTTCTCAGACTTGTTCTGGCAAATTGATTAAGGTGCTTGAGAATATCCTTAATTATTAGGTGCATGTGAATTTATAGAAGATGCATTTATAGAGATTACTATGTTATTTGTGATCAATAAATTATATTGTTATATTATGTATTAATTTGTGCATCAATAGATTGTATTGTTATATTGTGTGTTACAGTAATTCGAAATGTTGGTTGGTGCTGGTTTGAGGTCAAGTTAGCTGTTTTTAAATGTTTTAGATTTTCAATATAAAGTAATTAATATGAGTGGTAGAAGAAAAGTAAGTATATAAAATTAGATTTTATAGTACTTGATTTATTAATTGTGTGTATTAAGGTTGGCTAATGCGGGGCGGTTAGTGTTAGAATTGCTTATTTGGTGATATTGTTTATGTGGGCGCGTGAGAGTGAAAATCTGTAACCAATCATGGTATATCATTAAATAAAGTTTTGAGTTTTCACTCTCATGTATATATAGTGATAACGTGATCGATAATTTTGTTCTATGAATATTACTTTCATATTTGTCTTATTATTAAGAGGTATTTTCAGTAATCTCGTAGATGCTGCTAATTGAGGGTAGATGCTATTGATGGAGTGTTGATGTTCCGGTCTTAGCGTTAATATTATGAAAATTAGAATGTGTATAAAGGGTTGTTTTTCGCTTTAGTTCACAATTTAATGTGTGCTTTTTGAATTTGTTCTAAAATAAAAGAATACTGTGATGTATTTTATTTTATTGTAATAAAAAAGACGATAATAGAAGATGAATTGACATAAAAGATAGTATTAATAATTTTTATAAGCAGGCAATGGTAAAAAAATTGAGTAAGAAAAAAAACCTTGAGAATTGCTATAGACGTTTATAAGTTATACTATTTAGTATAATATTCGTTTGCTAAGTGTATTTATTCTTCATCGCGTTCATCATCAGTTGTAATACTTATAACTTTAGAATTGCGTGTTTGTCTAGTATTACGTGTATTTCGTTCTTTACTTTTATTTTTTCCACCACGATTATAATGTGCTTTTGATTGATTTTGATTTTCATTTTCTTTATGTTTCTTATTAATTGTTTCTTCAGATAAAGCTTCAGCTGTTTCTTGGTTTGTCTGTGATATATCTTCATTGTAGTCAGTATTTTCATCTATTTTTTCAGTTTTTGCACGCTTTGGGCTTTGAAAATTTAGTGATGATGAATCAGACTGATGAGATTCTGCGATACCTAAATTTGACGTGTTCGTTGTAGTTAAATTTTCAAGATTTTTTTCAGTATTTTCAGAGATACTTTGATGTGCAGCTAAAAGTTTAGATCGAGCTGTATTAGGTGATGTTGTTGAAACTTGAGAGTTGTTAGTATCTGAAATTCGTTTTCTGGTAAGCGCTTGAGTATCAATATATGAGATATCTTTTGCATATATGTAGAATTCATTTTGAATGACTTCTAGCTGGCCGACGACGAAGAGCATAGATTCATTAGGGCGAATAGAGTTTTTAAAATGCTTGAATCGAGAGCTAATATATGGATAGGTAACGTTTACTATAAAGTTGTGTTCTTGAGTAGTATAGTCGGTAACTAAGGTTTTAATGATAGCATTTTCATTGTTTTTAAGTTCTTCAGGTGTGTTTTGAGCTACGCCGACCAGAGAAGAGTTTAATGGACAGTTATTTGAATTAAATTGTCTGTTGATTATTCTATTAATTGCGATGTGTGTTGATGTTGCGACTGTCATCTGTGTTTAATAAATATTATAGATGAGTAACGAATTTATTGTTCATCGTTATTGGTATTATATAAATTTAATAAATAATAGTACTTTCGGTCTTTTAACACCACGATAATCTTCAGGAACAATTTTTCCGCTGATGGCATAGTACTCGTTCTTTTCGAAAATTGCTTGACTGTCGGGATCTCTATCGTTGGAGTTGATCGGTATGAACATAATCATTTCAATATCATTATCTTCTTGTTCGACAGGATATGTGCCAATGGCCCATAAAATAATTGAATTAATATTTTCTTTTATAGATTGTCGAACTTGGCTTATCTTTACGATAGTACTACAGAAGCACGGCATAGTTGTGATTTTGCGGTTATTGTTTTATAACTTGAGGATTTATATAAGATTTGTAAAGAGTTATCTAATACAGTAGTAAATATTTTCTATGAATTGGTAGATAGCCGAGTGATCGTGCGAAATGCTAACCAGGTTTAGATGGTTTTATCTGGTTAGTATGTGTAAAAATACTGTAAAATAATTGCTTGAGCTTATATAATTATTTTTGCTACTGTTATAGCGTTGTTCATTATAGTATTGATTTTTTCCCAGGATTCAGGTTTATGTGAAGTTAACAGATTGGAAGTAGGTGCGTACTCACGTTCACATGAAGTGCTTTGAATAAATCGGGCAATAGTTGTTATTAATTGAAATAAGCAATTATGAAATTTAATACTGTACTGTTGTAAATAATACTTGGGAATTATAATGCCAATGCTAGTTGTAGCTTATAAAGTTATTATAATATTTATAATGATAAGATCGTGTTTGTGGAAAGTAAACTTGTTTTGCATCTGATTTTTATTGTAAGTTTTACAGTATTGTGCCTGTTTTATGTCATATATTTTTTAATAATTCAGGACATATAATGTATAGTTACAATTAAATTTGGGAATAAAAAAAGTGTATTGATAAGAACTCAAAAAACGCATTTAATTTACTGGTTGATATGTTTATTGAACCAGTTCTTTATAGACGATATTGACTGTTTTTACGGTTGTATTACCTTCTGGTAATAGAATTAAACAATGCTTTTTATTTCTTACGCGGGAGATAGCAGTGTATAGTTGACCATGAGCAAACACGTGGGTTTGAAGGTCTATAACAATACGATCTAAAGTTAAACCTTGGCAACTATTAAAGGTTGTTGAATAGGCTAGACGTAGTGGAAATTGTTTTCGGTACACTGTCCATGAACAGTACTCTGGTTGAAAATAAAAGTTGATTCTAGGAAGTAGATGGGTTTCCAATATGTGATTAGGTTGATTGTTATTAGGCAGTATTACTTCAATTAGCCGTCTTCCTAATTTAGTTACAATAACTCGTGCATTCTTAACTAATCCTTTTTCGATAGAGATATTTCGCATAATAGAGCAAATGGAACCATTTTTTATATGAAGTTCATGGTTGGGTATTCCAGGATGTGTTAGTTGAGCTAGATAATCTGGTGTTGCAATTGTGTGATCATATAATATTTCATCATTTTCCTTTACGACATCATAACTGAAATATGTGTGAACAGTTCCCGGTAAATTATTGAGAATTCGACTATTGAAATCATCTACTAAAATATTGCGGGGACTAAGAAAAGCTCTTGTTTGTAGTGCATTAAAATCTGTAAGTGAATTTTTTGGATATAAAAAGGAAATTGCTTTTTCAATATCATGAGTTGTTTCAAAAATTTCCAGAGATACTTCTGATTCTTGCCAGTTATTTCCAATAGAATCGACAAATTCAGAAAAACCTGGATCATTTGCATTACGTATAGGCTGGTGGAGGGTATATTTGTCAAAGTACGTCCATAGATATGAAGTTTTAATTGATGCATCAATGGTAGCACTTTTTCCCGCTCCTTTGACAATAGGCGCTACTTGTCTAAAATCGCCAGCACCTATAAATGGTTTTCCTCCAAATGGTTCGTCTTTGTTACAGATTTGTCTAAGAAGAAGATCAACTCCTTCTAGAATAGCTTTATTTGCCATTGGGAGTTCATCCCAAATTATTAGCATTGATTCACGGATTAAGTCTGCACGGTTGCTATGGTATCTGATTGTTGATTGAACATTGACATTGTTTTCTTCCACAGGTATTCTAAATAATGAGTGAGCCGTGCGACCACCTTCATACAATAATGCCGCTAATGCAGTAGTTCCACAAGGTAATATAATTTTTTTTGCAGCACGGATTGAGTGACAAATAGCATTAATAAGAAATGTTTTACCACGACCAGCTTTTCCATCTAAAAATTTTGAAAATTTTGATATTGGAATAGGACCATCTTCTGGTTTCCATAGTATATAGGCTATAATTTCATCATGAAAAGCAATTTGTTCTGGGGTCATTTTTGAGCAGAATTCTTCAGCAAGTTGACTATACCGAACATAATCAGAATGGCGTTGATATTCCGCAATTACTTCTTTAGTCCATGTTTGTGGTTCTGGAAGTCCAAAATCACGCAAACGTCGGCCATGTTCAGCAAGTATAGAGGCTATTTGTTGAAGTGCAATATTAATGGCATTAGGATTATTACTATGTATATCATCAGAGAGGTTTGAGTTAAATTTTTGCCAAATATCAAGTGCAGGGCACCATCTAAAATTAGTTGCGTGAACAGAAAACGTAATTGTGCTGGTGTTGAGAAACTTTCAACGGCTTCTTTCATAGCGAACATACTTTCATTTTCATTGGCGAATAGTCCCATCTCACATGCAGTTTCTTGGTATATTAAATATACAATATTGTTAAATATTTTAATATCATCCCATGTTCTAACTGCGCGATGCATTAAAATACATCTTAGATAAAAGAGTTCACCAGTTCCTGGAGCTACTAAAACAATTCTAGTGATTTTATTATTGGTTTTTTTTCTCACAATTTTTCTTAGAACACCAGGTTGCTCTTGTTCAAGAAAATCACCTTCACGTATATCTTGTTGTTTAAAGGGATATAGAGAATATTGTTCATAGTATTCGGTATACTTAAGTCTATCAAATAAGGACTCAGGTGGTCGAAAGAAATATCGATCCAAAAGTGATACAGATGAAGTATTATATGAGCGTGAATATTGGGAAATATTTGTATTGAAAAGATGAATAGGAAGTGCTTGTACTGGTGGGTCTGTCGAAGTTATGTGATAACGAAAGATTCTCTATGCGGCTTCAGGTGCTGACAAATATCTTCCTTTTATATAGTCATTAAATTCATTGATGTACTGTGAATTTGATTGATGATTTGTATTAGGAAGTATATCTGTTGTTTTAAGATTTGTTGGTTCAAAATGATCAGTATTGTTAAAATTTGTAGTATCTGCATTATTTACAGTAAATTTGACATAATCAGGCCCCTTGAAAAGGTATTTATATAAGTACATAAATAGATGAACGGTAGAGGTGATTTCAAAGTTGATATGACATTCTAACTTCATGATTAACATAGGATTATAAGGTACTACCCATGCATCATCATGTGTTCGACGACGGTATTGCACGTAACCTCTTTCGTCAATATAAGTTTCGGAAATAATTGGTTTCGGATAATAATAAATACAGGTACCATTGCGAAGACAGCGAGGTGAATGTTGTTGTCTATAAAGCATATATTTTTTTACTATTTCATTTAAATATGTATTTTCATGAGGAATTTCTGCTGATATAATTTTGTCAATTTGGTCAACTGGAAGTTCGGGGTGTACACGCATGATAACGTGGGCATGAGGAAGCCCACGTTTTTGGAATTCTATCACATCTATTATATAAGCAATTTTTCCGAAGTGTTCACGTAGTAGATCTTTTAATTTTCCAAAGCGAGAGTGAAATGCACGTATGACAATTGTTGGCAATTCCGATGCGTTTTGTCCAGGTCTTAGAAATGATCGGATTTCTTTCCAATTTGGATTAGTGGTAATCGTATAAAGAAACTTGGCTTTCCTCTACAGCGAGCAAGTGCTAAAGCATTAGCAACGTGAGTAGAACACCACTTTTTTGATCTTAAGAATGAAGCAGGAAGATATAGATTTTTTTCTCTATCTCCATCATCATCATTATTGTTAAAGTCCTTTTCAATAATTGCAACGGTTGGCCTCTGAGTTTTTCTTTTT